CCAGGATTAACCAGACACTCGGTGATAGTGTTACGGGAGTGCACGCATGGTGTGCGGTGACTACAGGCTGGTTTTTTTATTTTTTTTGATTATTAGTTGTGTGTGATGTCCCAGTCAATATCCACTGTCTGTCCTATGATGTTCCGCTTTTTCTGCGATCACTATCGGTTTTCTGTTTTTTCTTGACAAAACCGAGTATTTTCTTTTTTTTCAGGAAATCCAGATGATGTGGCAAATGAATTTGGGCGTTCAGCGCTCTATTTCAAACTTGGATACTTCTCGCTGATCGGCTTGCTGCGTACGCACGTACTTCTCGGCGATTATCATCAAGCACTAAAAACTGTTGAAAATTTGGAACTGGATCCAAAGGTGAATGTTCGGCCTACCGAGGGCTGCAAATTATTTGCCAGCCGCTCTACTTGGCCAGTCCACTTATGATTCAGCCTTCTAATCACAGTTACTTATCATTCCTCATGCAAATTGCCTAAATAATCTTGAGTAATCTTGATTTCGGAAGAAAAAAAAGCTAATTTTTGCAGGGCCTGTACAATACAGTTCCATCATGTTTGGTCACGCTGCATTATTTTGTTGGCTTCTCACACATGATGATGCGAAACTATGGTGAAGCAACGAAAATTTTCGTAAATTGCCTGCTCTATATACAACGAACAAAAAATGTGCAGCAGCAGAGTCAGCAGCAGAAGAAGAATTTCCAGTATGATGTGGTAAGTGGCTACAAAAAATTCGAGCCAGAAAGGAATTGCGGGGATGGAGTAGGGGCAAGGGGGTGTGGAGGGCAGTTCTTGGGCTTAGACCTTTGTTTTTGTTAAGTTATGTTGCTTCACAATTTTAGCCTTTTCTGTGGTGAGGTTATATTATTACCATTTAATAGGACAATCCCCACCGTTTTTATCATGAATATAACGACATTGTAGATAAGAAGTGGAGGTGTTTGAGGGATACGAATTCTGAATTAGCAGGTGCTAATTTTAGCGATAGCGTAAATTTTATTGGTTGGGGAAAAAACTTCTGTCGGAAAAGCTTAAAACTGAGCGGCGGGGGAGGGGGAGGGGGGAGATTAGGAAGAATAGGAGGGAAAGAAGTAAATTTTAATGAACTAAGG